TTCTCTGAAGTCATTAGTCTTGGTTTCTTGCTTCTATAGAATCTGTTTCTGTTTTATAACTCTATTTTAAGAAATTGTTTCATTGCCAAGAAAAGGAGAAAAAAGAACCTTCGGGATATAATTTCTCTATGCCAAGGAAAAGATCCCCCCCACCCCTTTTGCATGCAAAGCTTCACCGTGCTTCTGGTCTATCCATCTTTCGTTCTGCTGGCTCTCGTGATTTTCTTGGTGGCACAAGTGCTCTCTGCCATGCCCTTTTTTTCCTTGATGCCCAAAAGAAGTATATGCAGCTCTGATGCTAGTAAATTGCTTATATGCCCTTGTTCTGACCCCTTTGAACTGAGAGGCAGAAGAGAATTGGAGGCATAGATGCACATTGTTTAGCTTGGGGGCAATTTTGCATCCCCTTTGCCAAGTATAAGCAGAGTGATTTCACTTCCTACTCAGCTTTCAGCTTCTTGAAAATGTGCAGGCCCCAAGTGAACATTTTCTGGCAGACTCTTTCTTCCTTGGATAGACACTAAGAGTCTCAAGAGGGAAAATATGCCTCATGGTTTGTGCAGATGAGATTTGCCTCCACCTGGGGAGAATAAGTGTCTGAGGAATAGAGAATTTCAAACGTTTAATCTTTAAAGGTCACAGCAGCAGAGATGGGTTGGCTTGAGAAGGAGAATGTTTCTCTTGCTAAGAGTCCATGTTCCAGATGTCTCCTGAGCTGGCAAGAACCTCAAAGTCTTTCACCGGCAACTTGCAATTTTGAGCTTAATCTGTACATCTTTCTATCTCTCTTTCCTTGTATGAGTCCTCTTTGTTTCTTGTTCTTTAAGGAATCAGGGATCAAGATTTTGGCTTTCTATTCTAGCACCCCTTGCTCTACCTAAATCACGGTTGGTGCCATCACATATATTGTGAGCAGCATAAGGAGACTGGTTGGTGATGGAATTAACATATATACTAGATAACAAGCAGTGTGTAGGAAACACTGGAGGCAAAATGAGAACCATGTGGACTTCATACCAGGCTTCAATTAAGTGAATGGCCTGTACCATAACTTTCCTCCTCTAAATCTTTAAGATAGGAATAACAGGAGCCTAGAGAGATGCCTCAGGGAATAAGGCTTGCTGTACAAAGATGATCCCTAGGACCCACATAAAAGCTAGAGAGGTGTGGTGGAAGCCTGTAACCTCAGCACTCATCACTCAGGAGGCAGAGACAGAGGATCCCTGAGCAAGCTGACTAGCTAGACTAGCTGGAATCAGTAAACTCTAGACTTGGGGAGAGACCTTGCCTCAATGAAGTAAAGAATGACTGAGGAACATATCCAATAGCAACTTAGGGCCCCCACATGCACATGCATGCTGTGCACTCTACACACACAAACATACACATGCACCCACACATATGTGAACATGCATACACACATTCATACATACTATACACATATACATGAAAAAGAAAGACAGGGTTAACAGCAATACTTTCCCAAGATTACCTTAAAGATTGCACACCAAGACCTTGGCATAACAGGGTCAGAGTAAGAGACTCACAAACTTTGTCCTCTTCTAGCCTCCTCTTCCTTTGTATATATATTTTTAATAATACTAAAATGCAACATTTCCTTTTTCCATTTTACAGAAAAGGAACTCAGTTTGTATAGTTTTCTACTGTATCTCAAGTATTAAGTGGTGATTCTAGCATGTAATAAGCTTTCAACAAAGAGTTTAATGGTCAACGAATGAATGAGTAGTGTACCTTAAATGAGTTAAAAAACCTTGCACAATTTTTTAAGCTAGTGTCTCAGCTAACTTAGGACATAAGGCAGAGAGACTATCACAGAAAAATTTCATGCATGGAGATCAGAAGAAAACCCAGAAAGGGAAATAGAAAGCATAATATAATTCATCTTTTTTATGATTGAGAACATTGTGTTTTATAATTCCAAAGGCATGTTTTAAATATACAAAATCTGAACATGATTTTTAAAGCAGACAATAAAACCCTAAGATAAAAAGTAAAGATCTTAGTAAGGTCTCAGCTGTCTTGAATAAATCAGACTGCTCCCATCAGCCAGGAGAGGTGGTGGGTGATGGCATACATACAGTAGTATGAGTATTGTCTGGCCATCAGGGGAAGAGGAGGTGCTACTTGACCCCAAACTAACTGTCCTATAGAGATTCAGCCTTGTTATTACTCTGTGACCTTCTGAAAGGAAAAGGGCATAAAAAATTCATAAGGAGAAAAATGAAAAAGCCTACTGATAATATCTGCTATCTCCTGTATAAGACACACTACTTACTCTGCACATACTGCATCTGGTTGACACCACAGTAGCCTTATATGGCTGTATCTGAGAGTTGAAAACCATGGAGTTAGAGGTTGCCCAATGTCTCACAGTACCTTGGGGGTAATGGAGCAGTAACTGAACCCAAATCTGGGTTAAGAGCCCAGGCATTTTTGACATTTCATTGCTGTTCCACCACCTCTCCAGAATGAGTCCCTGAGACAGAAGCAGAGATTAGTGACTGGAGACTACTCCACAGCCCAGCAATGTGGCAGGATACATTAGCCAAGTGGGAGGCAGGGTTCCTTCTCTCCAGTTACCTATTCTGTTTACCAACTGACAAAAGCTTCTCCCTAGGCATTTTATCTAGAATAATAGTACCCATGTCCATCTCTCTCCCACCCATCCTACCAACAAAACAAAACAAAAACTATCCACCTCACCCTCAACTGATTATCTCTTTTCATTTATTTTTACTCTGTTTTCTATGACAATTAAAGTATGGATGATAATAAAAAAGAAAGAGGGTGGTTAATATTCTGTATTCTAATATATCTACTATCAATACTGTGTTAGTTTCTTTTCCTATCACTGTGAGAAAACACCCAAACAAAAACAGCTTATGGAAGCAAAGGTTAATCTCAGCCCACAGTTCAAGGTCCAGTCCATCATGGCAGAGAAGCCAAGGCAGCAGGAACTTGAAGAAGGTAGTTATGTTACACACTCAATCGGGAAGCACAGAACAATGAATAGAGATGCATGCTACTCCTCAGCTCCCTTTCTCCATTTATATATCCCAGGATCCCAGCCAGGGAGACCCCACAGTAGGCAAGTCTTCCCATTGTAATGAAGACAATCAAGATAATCCTGTATAGGTATGCCCAAGAGACCCACATCTCAGGTGAGTCTAGATTCTGTCAAGTTAACAGTTATGACTAATCATAACAAGTACAAAAACAAAAAAATGTGAACCAGGTTGTGCACACCTGTAACACCTGTAATTGCAGCACTGAGGAGGCAAAAGCAGGGAGGATCTCTAGGTCGAGCCAAGCTGGGATATGTAGTGAGACTCTGTTTCAAAAAAAGAAAAAAAAAAGAAGAAAGAATGATAGAAAGGAAGGAAGAAAGAAAAAGAAAGAAAGGATGTTGCATGATATATATATATATATATATGTAGTCATTATTCCATCATAATGTACAAGCTTAAACTTCAAGAATTTTTGATTACCATTTATAAGCAGTCTTGTACCAAATAAATAAATTGGTTTGGGTGAGAAAAGAAAGCCTTCATAGTATGATTTAATACATATTTCCATGCACCGCACACAGAATGTGAATATATATGTGAACTCTAGGGTGCTGCTGGGAAAGCTACATAATCTTTCCTGCCAGGATCTCCCTTGGACCTTTCAAGGTGGTCACATTGTTCCTGGAGAAGTCAGAATAAGGTCCTTTGAGAATGAGGATACCAGCATCTCTCCCTCCTAGGAATAAGGGCACAGGGCCTCTCAATGAGGCAAGAGTCAATTCAGAGGGAGCTAGAAGTAGTGTGGAACTCCATGGTTGGGGCTCTGTAGTTAAATGGCCTGTAGCTTTGAATCCTGGCTCTCCCATTACTCCTCTGTGTCCTTGGGCAGATTACCTAACACACTTTTGGTTTTCTAAAAGGGCCTAAGGCTAGTACAGTATCTACCATTGGGGTTGTTTAAGAGAGTAAAAGGGAAACACAGATGAGCCTGGAACAAGGCACGCATCCGTTAATGTTCACTGCTGTTACTCCTACTGCTATTCTGGTTCTTCCAAACAGTAGCAGTGTAAGACAACCATTAACGGACAAGGAAAGTGACTGGGACTTCTCACGGCAACTTGCCATGTAGATCTATCTTATCCTCTCTCCTTTTGGCTCAGTGAAGCCTCCACCTCAACCCTGAAAGTTGATCACCAACTCCTTGGCCATTATGAGAGGAAAGAACTGAGCAGATGCTGCAGGAACATCTGGTAACCCCGGAGAGTGTCAAAAACATAGTGTCTCTGCCGTAAGAAGGGAGTGATTCAAGAAACCTCAGATAATGTTGTCAAATCTGTGACACTCTTAGAATTATTAGCTATGGTATGAATGCTTGGAATGGTAGGTAGTGGACTCTTCTGTATAGGTGAGTGCTCAGAAGTCTATGGAAGGACTCAGCCTTCTGGGAAAATGACAGCAGGTTCTAGATCCTGTCAGCACTTCAGCAGCTTGCTCCCTCAGGACAAGGCATGTTTCGAAACAGTCTGGAAATCCAGACCTTAGGTGAAAGAAACACAGGGGCCACATATTTTCCAAGTGACTTGACAAAACTTCTGTCACCTCTCTCTTGGTTTACTTGTTTGAGACAGGAGGATAGCTATAAGTTCTAAGTCATGTCAGACTACATAGTGAATTCCAGGTCAGCCTGGACTATAAACTGACACCCTGTCTCAAAATTTAAAGACAAACAAACAAACCAAAAAAAACCACACAGACACGAAGACACACACACACACACACACACACACACACACACACACACACACACACATACACACACACACACACCAAAAAACAAAACAATACAAAAACAAAACACTAATGTGTAAAGTAACCAGTTCTGTTGTGGAAGTCTACAATTTTTAGTTCTGTTTTTCATTTATTTTCTCCAATTTTCTTGAATTTAAGGTGTGGTTAAGAGACATCCATAGTAAAATCAGAGTTCATAGTTGACAATGTACATTTCAGATGGGTTATCCCTCAGAATGAATAAACCCATTGTGCTTTTGACCCAAAAGTGAAGCTGAAGGCTATCATACAAAAGTCTTGACATTGATGATACTATATACTCTGGCCCTAGGATTTAGGAAGGGCAGACTTTTTTGAGCTCCTGGTGGCTGGCATGAACAGAAGCTGACCAGAGAGGTAAGATGTTCTCTATGAAGGAATCTTACCCTGGCATTCTCCAGAAATCAGCAGGAGCCCACATGAGTCAGGGATTGCCCTGAGTAGAAGGTTAGTGTCTCCAAGCCAATGGCAGATTATGAAGTCTAGTGTTTTAGGGTGGAGGCTGAATCACACTTCCTGGGAGGCCCGTGGACTGTGTGGGAAGGTTTCTGACACTATTTATTATGTTCTTATTGGTATTTATCACTGTGGTCAACTAAGCATGATTGCCAACTTGAGTATTTTTCTCCTCTGTGCATTTTCTATAATTATTTCCCCTTTATTCTTTCTGTATATTCAAAACAACACTTTGAAGATGTCAATCTGTCTAATTTTGCTAAGGAAAAGCTACATGAGAGGCTGTATTGGGTATTGTGGTATTGGGCCCAGTTGGAGCAGCCAAACGTGGTATCAACATAGATAGAAACAGTCACAAAAATAAAATGGGACAAGGGTATTGAATTGAGCTCTTGATGTTCCTCCCCTCCTGGCTTCTCAGGGCCGTTCTCTTTTCAGGATTCACATTTAGATATCTGCTCATTCAATAAGTCTTCATTGAGAGTCTCCCATGTTCCAGGCTAGATGCAAGGGTATAACAGTAAAGCAAACAGAAAGGGCCTGTTTTAATGGAGCTTTTGATATAGTGGCAAATAGAGAACAGTGACCAGGACTTTTCTCTGGAGGGAACTGGAAGCAATAAGTCCAGGAGGACATTCCTGAGAAAGTAATGTTTCCCCTGGAAACACACAGTGTGAGTTGACTTAACGAGGGACAGCTTCTCAAACTAATCTGCCCTCTAACTGAAATTCAGAACTGAGGCCAGTTGTACTTTTCCACTATAGCCCCATTTTGTTTTCTTTCTTTTCAACACCAAGTCAAATGTTATTTGAGTAGCATGGTAGAATTCAGATCATCTATTGACCAACTCACATGAGTGGCCCACCCAAGCTCACACCACAGAGCCAGGATCTCATTGGATAAACTTGACTATCCCAAGGCTTTGGATTGCCATAAACATGTCTCATTTTTATTTTATTCAGTACATAAAAATTTTTAATTTTTTCAAAGAAATCAGTATGAAAGAATGAATGACTCCAAACACAATGTTTTGGAAATGCTCACTGCAATTTGGGCAAGTGCCATAGCCTCAGGACACTTGAGACCAGAGCACCTCTCTGGTGATTAGAACCTGAGACCACATGATTTGCATTAAAGAGCACATGGATGGAGGCATCCTGAGATACTTGCTAGACAAACATCATCATAATTCAGTTTTTATACCAATCTGAATTAATCAAATATTTGGAACACCTTTCCCTTCAGAAGAATGTGGATGTGAGCTCTTATAATAACTATAATATGATGACGATGATGATGATGATGACAATAATGGGAGTATAATATACTGAGTACTTACTACCATGTGCCAGGCATGGCTCCAAGAGCTTCACATGGATTAATTCATGTAACACTCATAACAACCCTATGCAGTTGCATTAATATTCTCTTGAAGGAAGTTCTGCTTGGAGAGATTAAGAAATCTGCCCATGGCTGAACACAGTAAGAACAGCCCTCACATAGTAGACCATGGTTTGGACTGAGACCCAGGAAGATAGTGTACATCGAATGCTGGTTTTCAAATGAGGAATTTATAACTCACAGAGGCTAAGTGGCTTTGCTGAGACTATAGAGCTATCTTAAAGCCCTATATATTTTCCCTGAAACCAGTAATAATGATGGTTTTACTTATTGCTTATTGATAATTTCTTATATGCATAGCATGTTGCCTTAAAATTTTCTCACAGGTGCTCAACTTTTAGAATAATCTGGGAATTAAAAACTAAATGTCTTTAACCCACTAATTCAATCAGGATTTCAAGGTATAGGATAATTTTTCCGTTTCCCTGGGATGGAAACACAAAATGAGTGTGAGAATTCCTTCCTAGATTCTTGTAGGCAAGAAAACTGAGAGTCTGGGGAAGGAGTGGAAATAGTAGAAAGATAACCAATGATTCCCAGGGTTTAAGGTTGGTGGGGAGGGTTGAACAGGTAGAGTGCAGACAGGTTTTAGGGCAGTGAGCAGATTTTGTACGGTCCTATCAAGCTAGATACATGACAGCATACATTTGTCTGAACCTATAGAATGTACAATGTTGAAAATGAACTCTGACATAAACTATAGGCTACTAGTGATAACAGTGTGTCCACAGAGTGACACCATTGTACCATTGTGGTAGAGGATATTGACAACAGGCAGGCTGTGTGTATGGGAGTATGGATAAGAGCTAGAGGGAAAACCTTTGTCCTTTCCTCTTAATTTTGTGGTACACCTAGAACACTTTTTTTTAAAAAAAAGTCTTTAAAAATGTAAAAAGGAGAGACTTGAAAAGTCAAACATCACAGGAAAAAAAGGCAAAATCATGAAAAAATGTGATCAATCATTACCAGAGAGGTTGAAAAGACACGCTCCAATTGCTTTAAAAATTCACAGAACCCAGGTCTCCTCAAAATAGTTTTGCAAAGTACATGGAGAATTCCAGGCAGTAATGTGAAACATAAGTCCCACTGATGCCACTGAACATGCTTCAGCTGGCTAAACCAAAGGAGCTTGACATGAGCTCAAGGCTCTGCACAGCTCAACAGGAGAGCGAGCGCAGTGGAGATGGAGACGCGGTGGCTAAGCTGGCCCAGATGTGTACATGTTCTGCTCCATTAAAATAATTTGGATGAGAGGCAAAGTACATTTGGCACACAAAGAGGAAGTCAAGGGAGGGGTGGGACAGGACACTCATCCTCATTGCAGGCCTCCCTCCTCCTCATGCTTACCTCCCCTCCATTTTTCCTTGATACAGTTTCTGGAGCCAAGTCTCTACAATGAAAATATGACCATCGACCTTCCAGCCTCCCTAGAACCAAACCATTTTGCCATAAGTGTCAATTTTTGAACTCTGTCTGGGAGTTAACAACACTCTTGGGTGACTTGGTGTGAAACTGACCAAGTATGCACAGTGCTTAGTGTGCAAGGCTTATGGGAAGCTGCAGAGAACAGGAAGATAACCCAGTGATCATCTCTGAAACAGGTCACATGAGGAAAGGTGGGTGAAGGAAGTGATAATGTCTGGGCAGAAGAAAGATAAGATCCTAAGCTTTCTACATCTGAAGAGCTAGGATGGGATTCTCCATGAAATTAGTATGGCAGCTACAATATAAAAGACTGTGTCTCAGTGCAGGAAGACTTTAACATCTAGGTGTGTCCTAAAGTTAAGATGTGGTGGCAAACTTCCTAACACTGAATCTGAATGACTTTTTGGTAGGGCTGTTGAGGAGGGGATTCAACCATGATTTGGTTGAACTCAATGTTTTACATTGCCTCTTTCAGTTTAGAGTCTGTTTTTTAGAATATATTTATTTTTATTTTATGTGTATATGTGTTGTGTCTGCATGTATGTCTGTTAATAAGCAAGCAGTGCCCAGGGAGGGTACTCAGCCCAATGTGCTGTCATTCCTTCCCCAGAACTCATTCTGTGGACCTACATGCAAACATATTGGAGAGTGTGTTAATCCTGTTGATACCCACTTTTCATTGTCTGATTTTGTTCTTTTCTTGAGGTACTTGGGAAATGGGACTGCTACATTATAACACTTCATACCATCTTGAGTAGGTGATGTGTTTGAACCTGGGGCTGCCTTGATGAAGGCATCAGATGTCCTGGAGCAAGAGTTATAGATAGTTGTGAGCCACCATGTGGCTGTTAGGGATCGAACCCAGGTCTTCTGGGTTCAAGGAAAAGATTTTCTGAGTTTTTATGGGGGAGTTGTGGCAGGAGAGTAAGGGTACAGTGCAGAGTAGGTTCTCCTTGTGTCTGTGTCAATAGACTGGATGTGTGAGTTATTAGACATGGGGACTGGCTGACTTTCTGTTGCTATCCACAGTGTCTCAGCCCACTGTGATTGCCATTCCTTCTCCAGAACCCATTCAGTGGACCTACAGAAGTGTTGAAGAGTGCATCTACCCTGTTGGTGTTCATTCTTCATTCTATGATTTCTTTCCTTTTGGAGTTCTTGGGAACTGGAACTGCTGCTTTATAATGCTTTACACCGACGTTGTAGGTTAGGTGAGGGTGCTGCGATTTAACTTATTCATCTATGTGTCTGTCTTCAGTGTGGGATCAGAGTTTCCCAGTAGGATTAACGAGAGTGGGAAAGAGAGTTGGATTGAGTTCCAACTCTGAAAAGAACAAACAGGTTTTCAAGAAAAACTTTTACGAGGCTCAATCGTGCTATCGTGTTGTCTTTAATATGTTTTTACCCTAAGAGTCTAATTTCCAGGCTTGTGCCATGTGTCTGGGCTGCTGAAATTACTAGCTTTGATTTGCCTTCAAAGAGCTCTCATTCTAGTTCTTATTCTAGCTCTCATTCAGGAGGGATAGACGGGAAATTTTGGGGGAGAGGAGCCTGTCACCCCAGAATGTAGTTGAAGTTTTCCTGTGTCCACCCGGCTCCGGCATCCTTGCATTTCTCAGACCCAAATAAACATACGCAGGCTAATATTATTTAAAACTGCTTGGCCATTAGCTTAGGCCTACCACTAACTAGCTTTTATACTTAAACTCAGCCCATTTCTGTTAATATAGATGTTACCACGTATTCCGTGGTTTTACCTGTGTGCTTATCACATGCTGCTCCCTGGACGGCAGGCTGGCGTCTCCTCACTCAGTCTTCCTCTTCCCACAATTCTCTTCTCTGTTTGTCCTGCCTATACTTCCTGCCTGGATACTGGCCAATCAGCATTTTATTTTTACAGAGTGATATCCACAGCACCAGAATCTAGTTGAAACCCTTTGCCAGCAGAGAAATAAAAAGTGTAGCACAATTAATTATTGGCTAAGGCCTTTCTCCCTTTGTAGGTATAAGCAATGTAATTTCTAAGACTCTTCACCAGATACTCTGTAGACAGAGAAAGGACATGTACTAAACTCCTCGTGCAACCCTGGTGGCTTCTGGTTTTACCTTATCAGTTTATAATTCCATCCAAGGCATCTGCAGGGCCTTTTTATAATTTCATTTATCATGATAGAGAAAAGAAGAAACTGTTTCCTAGCAACCTTTTTAGATATAACTCAAGAGTTAACAAAAATGGTAGATATGGCTAATGCTAAAACAATTGAGACTCCTTGAGGAAGCTCCCACCTACACTTGGTATGTGTTACCTTTTGTGATTGTCTTGCAAAGAAGCCCACACCCAAGCTCTTGGGTGAGTCTTACTTTCTGTCCTTGAGTACCTCTCTTTCTCCTAACCCTTACACTTAAGCCTACATTAAAATATCTTTAATAAAATATCCAGCTCTGCTTCATAAAAGAGTCCTAAAATTCTTTTCCGCATGGAAGCCACAAATCCAGGCTCGAGATCCCTAAAGCATTAAAGGAACTCCTCTGTTGGTAAGGGGGAGGGTGTGGAGCTGTGTCACTGTCCTCGCCTCTCTGACACGGTGGGGGAATAAAAATTAGTGGAATAAAAATAGAAAGAGGCTAGTCCGTGCTTGAAAAGTATGGATGATTAGGGAAGGAGAAGACATTTGAATTGGTTTTCGGGGATAGCTGATGTTGCCATGCATTCAGTGGCGAAACACTTCCCAGGATGAGGGTCAGCAGCAAGCACAAGGCTGGGGTCATGCTATGTTGGGAAATGTCAACTAGTTTCTGTGTGCTCTGTAATGAACTGTGTCCAGGAAAGTGGTGAGTGATGACACTGCCAACATATTTTGGGGCAACCCTCACCCAGATACAGAGACTTGCCAGAGTGCTACCTGAAGTGATTTTTGAAAACATGGTCTGGAGTTTCATGGACTGTAATTAAATATGGCCAATTTTGCATGCTCCATCTTGTGAGTTATCAGAAATCTTGATACATATTACTTTCCCCTGACCACCTTAGGAATGTATTTCTAAAATAACCCATTTAAGGTCAGTCAGAATAAATCATAATCAGGAGGGCGTATTTTCTGGAACAACTCAAGAGTGTAAGACAGGATGAAAATATGCATCAAGATGACTTGAAGTCATGTCCAGTTGACTAAATATTACCAATGGGTGGCCTAAGGGAATTTTAGCTGACCTGCACTGCTTGCATTTGGGAGCCACATGGAGTTCAATTGCATAAAGAACTCCTCAAATCACAATGAAGTGAATTTGGGAATTTTGCTTTATCTCCATTATGAGTGTAGCTGATTTCAAGTGTGAGCACAATGCTTTAAGTTTAAAATGGTTAAAATGCTTTTATTATAAAGTAATGCCTTATTGTGGGGAATAGCAACAAGGGTGGGTATATGGGTGTGGAATATGAGCATAGAAGAGTATAAGAGAAAACAAAATCTCCCGCCTAAGCAAGAAACTGAGTCACAATGGTACACTTGTTTTGTTGTTACAGGTTAAGCTCATTAAAATCAGTTTTTAAAAAACATAACATTTCATCAGATCTACCATTTCCCTTATGCATGCCTCTATGAGAATACTTTTCTCACTCTTACCTCATTATTAAACTTTCTTAATGCTTTCAGACCAAAATGTTAAGGTTACAAGCAGTGGAAAGGTGTGTAATTCAGACAGTAATTTAATATTGACATAGGATCCAACTGAGATTCAAGTTCTGATATATCAATAAATACTACAAGGTCCTAGGTATATACCATCCTTTCTCTAGACCACCAAGTCTACAATATAACACAGAGGATGTACCCAATAAATATTGGTTGTTTGAATAAATGAATGAATGGGTGTATGTGCAATTTTATTTATTCTTCCCCCAAAAGTCAGAGTCTCTCTCTGACAAATGCCCTATTTGGGCTAGACAACTGGGATGTAAATAACTCGATTTTATGCTATGTATACCCCCTGGGAAGCTGCACGTGCAGAGAGCCCGGTGGTCAACCTTCTTTCACTGGTAGATGTGACTTCTCTGTGGGAACCAACTTTTCCAGGTTCTCTTGTCTGCTTGTGATATTAGAGACAGAGAAGGGACTGCTGTTCTGCCTAGTTCTGCTCCTGAACTCTCGAAAGTCCTCCAGAAAATCCAGCCTCTGCCCTAGCTCCGCAGAAGCCCCCGTCCCTGCTTCACACCAGAGGCAGCATGCAGTAGAAGCGATTCCTCAATGGAGAAACACCAGAGGAAAGAAGGGTGCCACTGCTCCCTTAGGATGAGACAAACCCTCTGCCACCACAGCAGAGCAGCTGGTCCAACTGGAAACCTCAGATAAGTCCAGTTCTGGCCAAAACTGGTTTGGCAGCTCTGGAGAAATGTTTCTGGCTGACTGACCCTCACAGCAGGTGCTGGTAGTTTTGCAAAAAGAAAGAGAAAAGGGAGGAAAGAGGGTGGGGGTAGACTAAAGGAACTAAAGAGGGTGGCTAAATTCAAAACTCAACTTCGCCACACTTGCAAGTTAACACTTGGGAATTCACATAAAATTACTACCAGCCCACCAGCCTCAGTCCTTCCCTCACCCTCGCGTCCTTTGCAAAAATAGTTTTGTTGCAATGCAGTTTGTTCTGCAGCGCGATTGTTGAAACTACTGAATTCGGCCGAAAGCGACTTTTAGCGGTGTTTCCCCCACCCTGCAATGCTACTGTTACTATTAAGGCGATTGAATCTCCGCTCTTTCCCCTCCTTACTGCAATCGCACTCCGGCTGTGATTGCTCGGGTCTGACTTCGCAAGTGGCGGTGCGCTTCCAAACCCCCTCATCCGCCCCTCGCCCGGCTCTCCCCACTCCCTCCTTTTCCGCGCCCAGGCGAGAGCAGCCGATTGGCAGAGCGGGGCTTTCAGGAACAATAACAGTGGGGGGAGTCGGGGCCCCGGGGAGCCTCCCCGCCCCCGGCCCGGCTGCGGCTCACGCCCCCCGCGGGGTCCCCACCTCCGCGCCGCCCCGCGGGCTGACCGGCTCCCGGGCCCGCCCCCGGCGCCCACCATGTACGCCTTTGTGCGGTTCCTGGAGGACAACGTCTGCTACGCGCTGCCCGTGTCGTGCGTGCGCGACTTCAGCCCCCGCTCGCGACTGGATTTTGACAACCAGAAGGTGTACGCAGTGTACCGGGGCCCGGAGGAGCTGGGCGCCGAGCCCGAGAGCCCCCCGCGTGCTCCCCGGGACTGGGGCACGCTGTTGCTCCACAAGGCCCAGATCCTGGCTCTGGCAGGTGAGCAAGTGGGCCGGGAGGGGCGTTGGGTCCGGGCGGACTGGGGCTGGTTCCGGGAGAGGCTGAGCGGCCGGGGCCAGGGAGCCACAGCTTGCTCTTGCCTCTCCTTCCTGCCCCTTGGGCTTTCTTTTGGGTGCCAGGTGTCTCTAAGAGGCCAGACCAGTTAAAAAGACCCCAGGGTCCCCTTTGTCTTCCTTGCTTCTCTGACACTCATGCGCCCGGCTGTCAGCCTGCCTTCTCTGCCCTCTTCTTTCTGACTCTTTTGTATTCTCCCTGCCGCTTCACTTTCCCTGTCACTAGCTGCCTACCCTTAACTGTCATTTCTCCGACTCTCACCTTTACCTCTCTCACACAGCTGCTTTCCCCTCTGTTGCTTTCTCTCTCAAGTTTCTCAAACTGTTCCTTCCTCTCTTCCTTTAAGGCCCTTGGTGTCTTCTTGGAGCAAGAAGGAATTTTAGGTCTTTAGATGGGAGCCCTTTATCACAGAAGGAATCTCTAACAACTCCTCCCATCTGGGCCCTCCTTAAGACCAGGAGGCCCAACATCAGTGTACTGGCAAAGTGGCAGAGGGTCCTAAGGTAGCTTCACCTGCACACCCCTTTTTTGCATCTCCCAGAATGCTCCCTGAGAGAGAAAGAGATGGGGGCAAACAGTTACTAGTTCAGGTTAGGGCCTGACCTCCTAACCCTGATCACACACGGGGGTCGGGGAGAGTGAAAGGAGACAGACTGACAGACAGGCAGATGGTCTTTAGGTTGATGGATAAAGAAACAGAGACTTGGTTAGTTGACAGGACAAGCCAAGCCTTTCAGACTCCTGTACTGTGCCATGCAGAGGCACGGGTTCCTGTTCCAGCAAAGACAGTTGGCCTTCTTTCCCAGCCACTTGTAGAAGGCTTGGGCATGCACCCAGCAGGGAAAAGGAGCTTATCGCTTCCATCTAGGGGGCAGAGGTATAGCTGCTACTGGTAAGTGTGCTGCCTTTGAGTTGGTAGAGACAGAATCACCTTCCACCTGGGAGACAACCCCAGGGATTAGGAGCCCAATGAAGGCTGTCAGGATTTTGTGGTTTTTGACATTTTCTCTACTTTTCCCAGGGTCCTGTGTTTCCTCCTTTAGCCTAACGATGGACCTAGCACGAATCACAGTGACTTGTCCAGGATCCCAGACAAGCTGTCAGTGGAGCTCAAGGCTCGTGGCTGATTCCTTTCTAATACCTTTGGAAACTAGGTTTGTGGAAATAAAGGAGTAAAAGATTTGGAATGGATCAACACTTCTTTTTAGACAGATTGAGTCCTTACCACCATGCTGACAGGCCCCGGGGGGCAAAGAGCTGTAGGTCCACTCACCACCAGACACCAAGGTCTAGGGAAAAAAAATGAGTGAGGGAGATAGGTTTTAGAACGGAAGTCTTCAAAGCTGATTAGGTTTTGTTTGCTTGCTTGCCTTTAATTACCTAGGAAGGGATTAAGAAATTTATTCAGCAAGAGGATAAGTCTAAGGAAATTATAACTAGATATAACCTTAGCTTCCCTTTTGCTAAAAGAAAAGAGAGCATGCTTCTTGATGATCCTGTCACATATAGGTCTGGAAGAGCCCAGGAGAGTTGATGGAATGGGTGTCATGGTAAAGGCCTTTCCTTTTTTGGAGATTGCTGATCTGTCCACTCAAGCGTCCATTAATCCATTCATTCAGCAAGTGTAGATACACATACAAGAACTAGAGAGAGGCCAGTTAGGCCAGATGGCAGCCTCCACCAACTCTTCTTTTAAAGTCAACACACGTCGCAATGGGTTGTATGCATATATACATACATGCATACATAAGAAACTCAGCAGAGTATGTGGTACCAGTTTCAGCAAACTGAGTTAAAAAGTGCTTCTTCTTATCTCCAGTTTTTTTTCTTAGGAGAAGAAAAAAGGCGGGTGGGTGCATGGCAGGGAGGGGTGGGGACAATGGCAACTTGGGGTTGGCTAGACTCCGTTTTGAATTCCAGTAAGCTGGTTAATTTTTAAATTGAAACTGTTGTTCTTGGTGCAGACCTGATTGGAAAGGCCATTGTGAACCTGGGAATTCATGTATCCTGGAAGGACTCTCCCTTGTATGTTGAGTTTGGTGGCTATGAAGCTTGCTTGAAGTGACTTCACCTGAAGAGCTCATCTGACCCTTGCTATTGTCTAAATGCAATCAACCTCCTTGTGGGGCTTAGGGACTCAAACAAAACTGGTTCCTGTAGGCTTTTATAGCCTTGCGATTCATGGGGGCAGAGTTGTACTCTGGCACCAAGTTTGAGGAGTTAGTTCCTCAAGAGGAAGGCAGGGGTGGCTTTGCATTTGTGGACTGCTCCTGATTAATTAATTAGTTCTGACCTCAGTAGTGTGGTTTCAGAAGAAGCTTCAGAACCACTTATGGCTTTTGGTGATAAGTGTGTTAACTTTGCTATATGTTTGCCCAAGCCAACCACTGTAGCTGTCTTGAAGTAAACCATTTTCGGAAACCCAGGAAATGTCCAGCCAGCCGCTATGGTACTTTGTGCTTTGCCACCTACAGTAGCTTATGCCATGGTTTCAGTGTGTCAAACCGTAGTGCATGGCTTCCTTTGTACCAAACTACAATTCCAGCTTTAATAGGAAACAAAGCCTTCCCCTGCACTTTGGTGACAGTCTTGCTGTGTGCCTGCTCATTATTTGTCTAGCACCCATTGCTAGATATTACCATAGTTCTTGTTTCCATTTTATACACGAGAACAGAGGCTCAGAGAACTCCCTGAAGCCACATACAAATAGTTGGCAACGCTAAAAATGCGGTGCAGATCTTCTAGTGCCAGCCCCTGCTTGGCAATCCCCTTTGTAAGGTGGCTGATGAACCACTACAGCATGGCATGGGAGCAGTGAAAGGAAAGGGTAAATGTCAATGAAGTGTGTAGTCCAAGGCAAGTTTTCCAGCCAGAGACAGAGTTAATTTTGAGTATTCAAACCCACTATGCTCTCCTTCCTCTATTCCCTGACCAAAACTTCCCCAAACTCAAAGTTGTACTTGCTGAAATCCTCTCACAGGAACAGGATAATGCAAGGACTGACTCCTCTGTGAGCTGCGGTCTCTTCTTACTTGCATTTATTTGCCACGCAGGCTGTGAAATTGAGAACTTCCCCTGCAAAGTCCTCGCTATTGTCCAGTTGCAATCCAGCCTGCTTATGGGGTTTAGAGACTCAAAACTGGTTCCTGTAGGCTTTTGTAGACTTGCAATTCTGTCATTTTTCCTGGGTATCTATACTGTGTAATTATTGCCTGACTGCCCTAAATTCCCTCTGTGGTCAAGTGTGTCCTTACTATTTCTTACAGGCCAGACCCAATGCAGTAATGCCTGGCTATACCCGTGCAGAGTCCAAGGTGCCATGCTCACAATGATGGCATGATCCATGGAAGACAGTCTTTTTAGGCCCAGCCACATGGGATTTCTGTGGAGAGGGCAGAGTGATGAAGAAATAAACACTGTCCTCAGGGAGTGTGTAGGAAGTGTTAAGCAGAGGAAGAAGCCAGGCCCCAGGGAGCATAGCGAAGGGACCAGTTCTAGGAGTTTAGGGTTCTTCTTTTCCAGATCGACAAGCACTGGCTGCATTCAGTCTTGCTTAGGCTCTTAGTCATCTAAACCCCTGCAGCAGCCTGCTAATTAATCACCCAGTGTCCAGTCCACTGTCTAGACTGAATTCACAATGATCCAATCCACTGTCTTATCAATCGACTGCTCTCCTCAGAACCTTTTCTAGCTCCCCTATGGCCTGCTTGATAAAGCTTCAGCTTCTTGGCCTGGCATTCATATCCCAGTAGACCAATCCCAGCCCTACTTTACTCTCCAGATTCATCCCTCCAACTCGCTCAACCCTGCTTGCCCTGGACTTGAGATATCTCTTGCTCTTCTGTGAACACATACTCCTGGGTCAGCCACTGTGTATTAATTTTGTCTGACTTGAACCCTCTGTTTAAGTGGAGTTTACCTTCCATTGGGGAAAACAGTCTTGGGCTCCATTGTTGGTCCAGCTGTAAGAGAAAGTGGGCAAAGTACACTGGGAGTACCAGCCTTAAGAGCATTGCCTGTTCCTGCCTCTGCCCCAAAGGGAGATTCTCCCTCCTCAGAACTCTCTGTACTGTGCTTGTTCCCTGCTTTTGACTTGTAGCATTTGAAGACTGTTTTGGTTAGCCAGTGTTCCTGTCAGACGGTGAACTTCTCCAGGGCAGGGGTCTGTTGTCCAGGGCTGTGCATCCACTTGGCCAGGCTGTGTTGCATTCATATACTTTGTGAAGACAAATGCTTTTTTGTTGGAAGATAGGAAATAAGGAGACATGAACCTCTAAACCACAACTTGGTTTTGTTTTGTTTTTAGAACAGAAACCTGCAATGGGCTTATGAGGTTTCATTCAATTTTTATTCATCTGGAAAAAGTCAACATTCTTTATCACTCCCTCGACTAGAAGAAACCCCACACTTGGGGGAAATAAGTCCCAAAGCCACGTTCTTCTTGCTTTGGTAATTTTAGCTCATTCAGGGCTCAGGTCCCAGCTTGGCACTGTCAGTCCAAATAGATCACTTGCTCCAGAAATGCTTTGGAACGTCTACAGAGCTAGCAGCGAAGCAGGGGACTAGCCAATTTCACATGCAGAGATTGTTGCATGTCATCAGTGGGAGAATGCCAACCAAAGGATTGCTGCTGCTGCTTCTTTTTTTTTTTTTAAATAAGCAAGTGAAAACTTTTAATTTAGGTTTTGACATGTTCTGCTGACATACACTGGAGCAAAGATTGGGACTTGCCTGCTGTCATTTGTTGCAGATTCTACTGGAATGTTAATCACTGAAGGTTGAATCTGATGTGAGCTTTAGTGTTCCAGAACCACATATTTGTTGTATCTAAATAATGGATGCTGAAGAGGGCTTCAGGGTCCTGGTTTATAGGCTGAAAGGAGAAGTCCCAGGCAAGTTGAAGCTTTTGTTTATTTGGTTGGGTT